CTCTTTCCCTAAGGATTACTACTTGTAGGACAATACTAGAGGATTATTAAAAATTTCCCAAGAATTCACTAATCTCCACCTAGATCTAAGCAGGAAGGTATGAGTTTGAGTTTCATAAGAAGGCACTTCTTTTAAATACAGATGAAGCGTAGCTGAAACCATTAGGAGGTAATCCTATGTGTTTCTGAAATTTGTCCTCCTGAAAATACTTAATAGGGGGGATATTTGAACAACTTTTGTGGAGAGTATTGACGTTTGGTAGTAAAAAGGGAAGAAAGTTCTAACAATGCCCTTGTCATCTCCAAAACTAAATTTTAAGTAAAAGTTGGGATGTAGATTCTGACAATGGAACAAAATGTATTCAAATAGAACTTCTTGGGAAACCTTTGACATCTGGTTAGCATACTCACAATTACATAGCTCTGTGACTTTAAGTTAAAAAATCTCAAATGGTTCAGAATGCAGAACTAAGCAGAGTACTTGAAATATACTTTGTTAAATTATGACTTTGGAGTGATTTTGATATTTTCTACTTTCAGCTATAAAGTAGCTTTAACAATGTTCCCAGTTGATTGATTATAGAGTTCTCCAACATGCTATGGTAAAATATATTGTTGTTGTTTAGTTGCTAAATCATGTCTAACTCTTTTGTGACCGTGTGGACTATAGCTCACTAGGCTTCTCTGTCCATGGGATTTCCCAGGCAAGAATACTGGAGTGAGTTGCCATTTCCTTCTCCAGGGGATCTTCCCACCCCAGGGATCAGACCTGAGTCTCTTANTTGGCACTTTTCAAGCAGTTTGAAACATTCTCTGAATTTGAACTCTCTCATTCAAGAAGAAAACCTCATAACACTGTGAGGTAGATAGGTTAACGTTCCATTTAAAAAGTTAAAGGCAGTTAGGAGCAATGATATATTTCTCTTAATTGTCTGACATGATTACATTTCTCTCATTTCTTATCAGCCAGAGTTAAAACTTTCAGGCAAGAAAAATACTGAAACATGTAAAAGAATGTTCATTGTAAGCGTTCACAAAATCATCTTAATCAAAACTTCTAGTTTGCTGCATTTTAGTGCACTTCCTGTAGTTTTGTTTATAAAACAGATCTCCTAGTTGAGGCATTAAAAAGAGCAAAGTTCAAAGCAAACACATTTTGCTTTAGCAAGATCTGAAATCTTTTGCTGCTCCTCATTTTAAAATATGGTATAGATTCTTAATTTACACCACATAAAGGCTTCAATTAGAAAGTTTGGTGTAGGGGGATGAGAAAGACAATGGATATTGTGTAGATTTGCAGGGGAAACTTTCCATGGATTATTCTGACCTGCCAATTTAACGAGCTCGACAGCTTCACCTACATTATGAAAATTATCCTTCATTTCCTTAGATACAGTTGGATATAGTTTTAAGTGGTATTGTTTATATTAACCATAAAGCTGGTTTGGTTAAATGACATACTTTGCCAAACACGATGTGAGTTGAACTTTTTTCCTAGGAGAAACACTGGTCTAGCAATAATCGTTTCATTCCAGTGACTTCTAGAACCACAGTATCCCGTCTAGTGAACATGCATAACACATGACTGAACTGGATGAAAGAGTTCTTGTATTCTCTTCCTCTACTGATTATCATCTAAAGTATTTCCTGGGGAATTTCTCTTGGCTTTGAATTCTTGAAAAAGAAGTTTCATATAGATAATCTCTTAGGTCCTATCCAGTTCTAACAGCTATAACTCTAGCATTAATTTCAATAATTTGTAACAAGTTCATTTTTCACTTCCATGATGACACGAATGAATGCCTTGCACACATCCCATCACTGTCAAATAAATAGATGAGCAAAGTATCAAGTTCACTGGATGATTGCTATTAATGTATTTTTGCTGTTAGTGTTATTGAATCAAGAAGATTTTCCTGAGAGGTGGTTAGGCATTGCAAAATTTTTTGTTTCAATCTTGTTCTAGCATTAAAAATTAACCCTCTCATCCACATGGCACCCCAAATTCTATCAAAATTCCACAGGAATTATATGCTACATAATTTACTGTCAGCTGAAATGACTTTGACCTGTCTTTTTAAAAAAAATGAGTCAGACGAATTATTGAGTTGTTATTTTTTTTTTCTATGAAAAGATGTGTGTGTTATTATAGTATTCACAGCATGCAAGACAAAGCCCAGCCTTTTTTTTTAACCACAAAATATTTGCAAAATTCACAAAGCAATACTATTGATAAATAAAAATAACACTGTAAAAAACCCACTTCTTTATAATTTTAATGCATTTGCAGCATCATCTGTACTAATATCATTTTGTAGTAATATACTTTACTTTTTTGACCAAGTTTTAAACATTCTTTGATTTTTCAACTTTATTATTTTACAAGAAAGCTTTACAACAATGCCATGAGTTAGATCACCCAATGTCCCATGTGGTAGATGGAAAACATGAGGAAAAGCTATTGCATGATCCCCATATCACCACACAACAGATCAGAATCCAACTAAAAGTATATATAAATCTATTTTAAAAATCTGCTTTTCCATTTCTTAGATTTATACAGTCTATTACATTTATTTCTCTCATATGTGTCAAAATGCCATTGGGCTGAAGTAAATTAACTGTATTATAATTTAAATACATATATGTAGTTTCACAGATATTTATATGCAAAGAGTTGTCACAGTCTTCTGAAATAAAAATATAGGTACACAAAAGCACATATCCATCCAATCTAGACAGATTTGTTTTCTTGTGTCTACCAAAGGTTGTGTTAGGCTTTAATATAAAGAAGGTACATCATCAATCAAACACATTTTGAATGTGCTAAGTATTTTCCAAAAAGCTTTGGCTGTATCTCTACATATAAAAGGAAGCATCAGGATTTAAATTTTTATTCTGCTTTTTCTGTTGATATTTAGTTGCTAGGAGTCATCAGCTCAGAAATTTGGTGATCTTTTGTTTTCAAAAGGGAAGTATGTATGGATAACCATTTTGTGTTTATTATATCTTAACATTTATCTTAAATGACTAGGAGTTTTTTAGTTACATTTATCTTGTTTACATATATATTACATATAACACACATACATGCAAATTTAAAGTTTCAGTCATTAAAGAAACTAAAAGACTAGATTTTTCTTAGATAAGTCAGAGCAACAAGTCTAGAATTTGAGGCCTCATGTTTGGTACCTAGTGTGAATCCAGCTGCATCTCTGTGGCCACAACCCTGATGACAGATGACCAAGCATCCTATGACTACTTGGGTATAAGCAGACGTGGTTATACATACATTACTGAGGCATACAAGACTGATTTTGAAAACCTAGCAATTCACCTATTTTTTTACAATGTAATTTAAACTATTCTGAAATCAATGACATGATTTTAAAGAAGCAAAGTACAATTTTTAAATAGTATATTGTTTCATTGAGTCCAAAGCACATTAATAATAATTCATAGTAGCTAATCCATATATGGGCTTCCCAGGTGGCTCAGTGGTAAAGAATAAACCTGTCAGTGCAGGAGATGTAGGTTCGATCCCTGGGTCAGGAAGATCCCCCTGGAATATGAAGCAGCAACCCATTCCAGTATTCTTGCCTGGAAAATTCCATGGACAGATGCCTGGCGGGTCCATGGGGTCAGAGATAGACACAACTGAGCATGCACACACATAGTCCGTATTGAGAGCCTGCTGGGTACAGACACTGTTCCAAGTAATTTACCTATATGAATGCATTTAATCCTCATAATGATATGAGGTGGGTACCATTTTTATTCTCACTGTAGAGATGAAAGTGCTAATGCAGAGATGCTAAGGACCCATAGTTTGTACATGGCAGAGTCAACATTCAAGCTCAAGCAGTCTGGTTCTAAGCCTGTGCTCTCTCCCACTAGACCTGGGGCTGGTTTAAGCCCCAGGCCATTCACTCATTAAACAAATTAAGTTCATTTACTTCAAAACTCTCAGGCATTCCTTCCCATTATAACAAACTTTTATACAGTGTATAATATATGCCAAACAATGTGCCAAGTACTTTGCACAAATCAGATTTCCTAACCTGACATTCTAATAGACATCTGACTTGTCAGAGAATTGAAGACTTATAAAAGCACTGTATATGATAGAGGTATATCTAAATGATGATTGGATGTCTCATTTCACTGAAAATCTAAAGAGTGCTTGTTTTGTTAGTAATCATTGGAAGCATCTCTGATAGCCTAGGTTCCACTGGTTCTTTTTATCCTTATGTCCATGAAAAAGTGCTCCCAAAAGTTGTCTCCTTTTCAATCTAGCTTCAAATGATGTGTGAATGGCAAGATACTGTTAAAGAATAAACCAGAAATGCTTATTAACAATACAACATGCAACCTGAAGCTAGTACTGATGTATATAACCCAATGTTAATAGCAAGTTCATATATATTTAAAGACCTTTTAAATAGCAGTTCTCATGGTTAATGATAGTGCTCTGTATTTTGTAAACCCAGGTTAGAATTCAAGTTATATTGCAAATCTCACACTGCTCCATTCAAGCCACTGAAGGTCCAGTAATCAGTCCTAGAATGCTGGAGCCCTGAATCCTTAAGGATGGTTGCTGTTTGATTTTTTGCTAGATGAATCCCAAGTGCTCTAGGTACTATATGAGGGAAGATTTTGAGAGCCCTGGCAGCTCTTCATATCCTGTTGGAAATAATGTTCCCATCTTCAATGGAAGGAAACTATATATAAATATTCATCTGATTAATAGGATCACAATTTCCCATGTGAGTGAGGAGTTGGTGCTACCTGTCATTTGCTGTGTCTTTTTCTCTTAGGGTAGAGAAAGATTTCTGTCCGATGTACACAAAGTCCGCCTCATGATAGTAGATTGCTCTGCCTCTGAAGGACCTCTTGACATTCAACAAAAGAGCTGATCCAAATCACAAGAATACAAATAACACATAATATGCAGGAGTTTTAGCTCAATGTGTGATGGATAAAATTCAGGGTCAGTTCACACTAGATACCAGTCTTGGAGGCAATCCAGTCTCGATACTGAGACACTCTTGTGTAGACCCCAGGTTTTTTGGGAAGAGCACATGATTGTCCCCAACTTACTATACCAACTAGGTACCAGATTTCATGATTATCATAAACCAGAGGTCCACCAGAATCTCCCTAGAGAAAAAAACAATTGAGATTGTTAACACTAATTTAATTCAGAAGGACAATCACTACAATCATCTCTCTTCCAGAGGTAAAATGGAAACAGTTACATAGAACATGCAACCAGATTAGAGACAGATTATATGATGGTTCTCTCAATTTAGTTAAAATTTTGTGCTAAATTATTAAGTAAATTATTTTCCAGAAAGACCAATACTAATTTATATGGAATGGCTACATTATTTATGCTTCAGCATACATATATTTTTTGCTAGTTTTATTAGACACTTTAAGCATGATTTAGTAAGCACTTATCTGAAATATTTAATATGAGGTTGATATTTGTACATTGAAAAAAATGGCAACCCACTCCAGTATTCTTGCCTAGAGAATCCTGTGGATGGAGGAGCCTGGTGGGCTGCTGTCCATAGCGTCGCACAACTGAAGCGACTTAGCATGCATGCATGCACTGGATGCATGGAAATGGCAACCCACTCCAGTATTCTTGCCTGGAGAATCCCAGGTTCAGGGGAGCCTGATGGGCTGCCATCTATGGGGTCGCACAGAGTTGGACACGACTGAAATGACTTAGCAGCAGCAGCAATTTTTTGTATCTCTTCTGAGTATGTTAGCTCTTGACTGTATTTTATGAACCTACTCTGGCTTTCTTTTCTTTCACTTACCTATTTCTACCTTATTTTTGCTTTCTGAATTTTATATAAAACTTCTTAAATCTCTTTTGGATGAAAGAAGATTATGCAAATAAATAGATGCAAGTATCAAGGTTAAAATTGTGATCTCAGTAGTTGAACTGCCCAAGTTTCAGATCCAGTTCTATTAATTACTTGTTGTGTGATCTCAGGTAAGATACACAAGGTAAATTCTCTGTGCCTCTCCCACTTGCTTCATTTGGTTTTTCTTTTATCAACTATTTATTGAGTTCCTACTATGTGTCACAGGGCTTCCCTGGTGGCTCAGATGGTAAAAAATCTGCTGTCGCACAACTGAAGCGACTTAGCATGCATGCATGCCTGCATTGGAGAAGGAAATGGCAACCCACTCCAGTATTCTTGCCTGGAGAATCCCAGGTTCAGGGGAGCCTGATGGGCTGCCGTCTATGGGGTCACACAGAGTTGGACACGACTGAAGTGACTTAGCAACAGCAGCAGCAGCAGCAATTTTTTGTGATCTCTTCTAAGTATGTTAGCTCTTGACTGTAGTTTATGAACCTACTCTGGCTTTCTTTTCTTTCACTTACCTATTTCTACCTTATGTTTGATTTCTGAATTTTATATAAGACTTCTTAAATCTCTTTTGGATGAAAGAAGATTATGCAAATAAATAGATGCAAATATCAAGGTTAAAATTGTGATCTCAGTAGTTGAACTGCCCAAGTTTCAGATCCAGCTCTATTAATTACTTGTTGTGTGATCTCAGTTAAGATACACAGGGTAAATTCTCTGTGCCTCTCCCACTTGCTTCATTTGGTTTTTCTTTTATTAACTATTTATTGAGTTCCTACTATGTGTCACAGGGCTTCCCTGGTGGCTCAGATGGTAAAAAATCTGCCTGCAATGCAGAAGACCCCTGGGTTGTGAGGATCCCTGGGTTAGGAGTATCCCCTGGAGAAGGGACTGGCTCCCCACTCCAGTGTTCTTGCCCAGAGAACTCCATGGACAGAGGAGCCTGGGGGCTACAGCCCATGGGGTTGCAAAGAGTTGGACACAATTGAGCTACCTAACACTTCGCTACATGTCTCAGGCATTTTGATGGGTATTGAGGATTCAGTTCAGTTCAGTCGCTCAGTCGTGTCTGACTCTTTCCAACCCCATGAATCGCAGCACGCCAGACCTCCCTGTCCATCACCAACTCCTGGAGTCTACCCAAACCCATGTCCATCGAGTCGGTGATGCCATCCAGCCATCTCATCCTCTGTTGTCCCCTTCTCCTCCTGCCCCCAATCCCTCCCAGCATCAGGGTCTTTTCCAATGAGTCAACTCTTGGCATGAAGTAGCCAAGTTGGAGTTTCAGCTTCAGCATCAGTCCTGCCAATGAACACCCAGGACTGATATCCTTTAGGATGGACTGGTTGGATCTCCTTGCAGTCAAAGAGACTCTCAAGAGTCTTCTCCAACATCACAGTTCAAAAGCATCAATTCTTCGGTGCTCAGCTTTCTTCACTGTCCAACTCTCACATCCATTCATGACCACTGGAAAAACCAGAGCCTTGACTAGATGGACCTTTGTTGACAAATTAATGTCTCTGCTTTTAAGTATGCTATCTAGGTTGGTCATAACTTTCCTTCCAAGGAGCAGGTGTCTTTTAATTTCATGGCTGCAGTCACCATCTGCAGTGATTTTGGAGTCCCCCAAAATAAAGTCTGACACTGTTTCCACTGTCTCCCCATCTATTTCCCATGAAGTGATGGGACTGGATGCCATGATCTTAGTTTTCTGAATGTTGAGCTTTATGCCCACTTTTTCACTCTTCTCCTTCACTTACAATGACCAAAAATGAACTGTCCCTATGCTCATAGAGCTGGACACTTAAGAAAAAACAATATGAAATAAGCCTACAAAAATGCAAATGACAACTGTTATGAGTGCTATGGAGACATACAATAGAGGGATTTGACTAGTCAGGAAGGTTAGGGATATTTCCCTTGATGAAATGTAATCAATCTAATAGCTGAAGGAAGAGGAATAAATCATTAAAAACAAGGTGTGAATGAAATGTGTTTTAGATAGAGGGAAGCATGACAAATGCTCTGTGGCATGAAGCAGCATAGCATATGCAAAAGCTTGTAGAAATAGGAGACTGGAGAGAAGACAGCAAGTGGGCAAGTGGTACATAATGAGGCCATAGCAGGAAGGAGAGACTATTCCGTATAAAGTCCTATGGATCTTTTTAAGAAGTTTTTATCATAAGATAAAAATAAAGATAAAGCACTGAAGATTTAAGTGTTTTAAGGAGGAGGTTAACATGATCAGATTGCATCCTGTTAGAAACCATCCTGGAATTCATTCAACTAATGCACTACAGGATCATAAGAATGAATACAAAGAGATAAACTAGACAGTTAATGTATGTGGGAGGGGGTCAAGGGACAGGAAGGGGAGGAGAGGTTGAGAGAGGATAGAAAGGTAAAAGATGGTGGAGAGAGATTTACGGAAGTAAAATCCATGGGATTAGGTGGTTATTTGAATATGGGAAAAAGAGAAATTAGAATGGTTTCTAGCCTTTGGCATATCTAACAGATTGAAAGGGAATGTCATTTACAGAAATACAAAACAGAGAAAGATTAGTTGGGGAGAAGAATCAGCAAAATCAGGTACAACATTTGAATTAGAAGTGCCTTTGAAATATCCAACTGGAGCTGCCAAGTAGGAATGGAATAGATAAATCTGGAGATCAAAAGGGAGGATGGGGCTAAAAGTAAAATTTTATATAGAGTCTGCAAAAAAGATGATAATTGAAGCTATGAAAGAGAATTAGATTCTCTGGGGAGAAAGTATCAAGTGAAAACATAAACAGGCATAAATTAACATGTAATGGGTGGGGTTAAGAGAAGGGCACTGAAAAGAAGATAGAGAAGGAGCAGACAGAGATGCAAAATGTGAAAATTATTACAAGACAAGACAGTATTTCAATAAAGAGGGTGCGGTAAGCACTATTAAATACTGCTAAGAGGAAAAAAGTGAAGTGAAGTGAAGTCGCTCAGGCGTGTCTGACTCTTTGTTACCCCGTGGACTGTAGCCCACCAGGCTCCTCTGTCCGTGGGATTCTCCAGCAAGAATACTGGAGTTGGTTGCCATTTCCTTCTCCAGGGGGAAAAAAGACCCCCTCAAATTGTTGATGGTCATTAGTGATTCATTGAAAACATTAGGAAGAGAGATTTTGATGAAGCGATAGGGCAGGAACCATGTTGAAACAGTTTGAGGAGTTAGTGAGAGATGAGAAAATTGAGACAATAAACATTTTCTCAAATATTTGATGGTAAAGAGATAAAATGAGAGGCTAGCTGGAAGCATTATGGGTCAAAAAAGAATTTGCTTTTCTTTTTTTTCCATGACTTGAGACATCTGAATAGAGAATTTAGTTACAAGAGAAATGTTGACTCTGGAAGGAGAGAGACTGTAATTACTAATATATGCATGCTAAGTCACTTCAGTTGTGTCCAACTGTTTGTGACCCTATGGACTATAGCCTGCTAGGCTCCTCTGTCCATGGAATTCTCCAGGTAAGAATACTGGACTGGGTTGTCATTTCCTTCTCCAGGGGATCTTTCCAGGGATTGAACCCTCGTCTCTTATGGCTCCTGCATTGGCAGGTGGGTTCTTTACCACTAGCGCCACCTGGGAAGGCCAATTGCTAGTGTAAACTTCCCCAAAATGTCAACAAGAAGAGGAATCTGAACAGTGAGGAAGGGGCTATCCTTAGCGAAGGGGCAACTTCTCTATAGTGACCTAAGCTGAAAGTGGATGAAAAGGGTCCAGATGAAGGCAGATCTGCAATGTTTGATGCTAGGAAGATGGGAAAATTCCCTACTATGACTTTTATTTAATTTTTTTTTGAAAATTCAGAACAGAATCATCAGTCAAGAATAAATGGGTAGAAAAAACTGGAAGTTAAGCAAAGTGGAGAATGGTGGGAGAATTCAGAGAAAGGTAGATTTAGGAAAAAGCAACAAACATAGTAAGGTTGTCAGCTTTGTTATGTGGAACACACACTGAAACATGTATTCTGTTGTATTTTTTTCAGAAGCATATGACTTCCCAGATGCAGGCAGACAGAGGGTGTGAATAACTGAGTTCTTCCAGGTTTGGAACTTGTCAGACATAAACACTGGGAAGACAGAACATCAGGTGGGTTTGGGGTATAAGCAAAAATGTTTAAGAATGATCACAGTGAAATCTAAATTGGACAAGTGAGCAATGGAAGAAAGGCAGAATTAATGGACTGTGAAAGAGCAGAGAAGCTGTGCTCTACAAGACTCTGAAATTGAAGAAGGGTGGTATTCAGCCAACAAATACTTGTGCCAAGACTGGTTGAGGTATTCATAGAACAGAGGTAAATAAAATAGATGCTCTAAAATGAGTGCCTTCACAGAGTTCACTTTCTAGGCTAGTGAAACAGTTAAATAAAATATATTGTGCATTGAATGGTGTAGGAGCTAGAGATGAAAATAAAACAGAGAAGGGACACAAAGAATATGTGTGTAAGTTGTGTATGTTGGGCAGTGAGGATTGGTAGGTTGGATTATAACAGCGTGACCAAAGAAACAGAAGTAGTTGAAAATCAGGCAGAAAGGACTGAGGATAGTTGTTAAATAGGAAGATTTGGGAATTTGGTGTCATTGGAGATGGAACAGTTTTTGATAACAAGGTTCAAGGTGTGGCCCTAGGAATAGGGGACTGAGGAGGAGTGAAGGTCCCTGGAGGTTGAGATCTAAGAACTAAGGATCCAGCATTTAAATGAGTTGATGACAATATTGCCGAAGTTAGGATGAAGGTGAAATCTATTTTAGGCATCAATATCATGAAAGAATGAGTGGAACAAAGTAGAGAGATTAGGAGTTAGGGGGATAAAAACAAGATACATGAGAGATGATGATACAGCTGAATAAAAAGCTTTTCAGAGGAGAGGTTCCTCTGTCTTTTGATTACAAATTTGCTTAAGAAACTAACAATAGAGCGTAAGAGGTTGTCTGAATCAGAAACTGGAGCAAGAGACTAATTTTCTAATTTGTAAATAGTACTACATCATAGTACTTTGTCAATAGTACCATGCAAGATGGACACAATAACGGACAGAAATGGTGTGGACCTAACAGAAGCAGAAGTTATTAAGAAGAGGTGGTAAGAATACACAGAAGAACTGTACAAAAAAGATCTTCATGACCCAGATACTCACGATGGTGTGATCACTCACGTAGAGCCAGACATCCTGGAATGTGAAGTCAAGTGGGCCTTAGGAAGCATCACTATGAACAAAGCTAGTGGAGGTGATGGAATTCCAGTTGAGCTATTTCAAATCCTGAAAGATGATGCTGTGAAAGTGCTGCACTCAATATGCCAGCAAATTTGGAAAACTCAGCAGTGGCCACAGGACTGGAAAAGGTCAGTTTTCATTCCAATTCTTAAGAAACGCAGTGCCAAAGAATGTTCAAACTACCATACAATTGCACTCATCTCACAAGCTGGTAACATAATGCTCAAAATTCTCCAAGCCAGACTTCAACAGTATGTGAACTGTGAACTTCCAGATGTTCAAGCTGGTTTTAGAAAAGGTAGAGGAACCAGAGATCAAATTGCCAACATTAGTTGGATCACAGAAAAAGCAAGAGAGTTCCAGAAAAACAACCTTTGACTGTGGGGATCACAAGAAACTGTGGAAAATTCTTGAAGAGATGGGAATACCGGACCACCTGATCTGCCTCTTGAGAAATCTGTATGCAGGTGAGGAAGCAATAGTTAGAACTGGACATGGAATAACAGACTGGTTCCTCAAATAGGGAAAGGAGTATGTCAAGGCTGTATATTGTCACCTTGCTTATTTAACTTATATGCAGAGTAACATCATGAAAAATGATGGGCTGAATGAAGCACAAGCTGGAATCAAGATTGCCGGGAGATATATCAATAACCTCAGATATGCAGATGACACCACCCTTATGGCAGAAAGTGAAGAACGAAAGAGCCTCTTGATGAAAGTGAAAGAGGAGAGTGCAAAAGTTGGCTTAAAACTCAACAGTCAGAAAACTAAAATCATGGCATCTGGTCCCATCACTTCATGGCAAATAGATGGGGAAACAGTGGAAACATTGACAGACTTTATTTTTGGGGGCTCCAGAATCACTGCAGATGGTGACTGCAGCCATGAAATTAAAAGACACTTGCTCCTTGGAAGGAAAGTTATGACTAATCTAGACAGCATATTAAAAAGCAGAGACATTGCTTTGCCAACAAATGTCAGTCTAGTCAAGGCTATGGTTTTTCCAGTAGTCATGTATAGATGAGAGAGTTGGACTATAAAGAAAGCTGAGCACCAAAGAATTGATACTTTTGAACTGTGGTATTGGAGAAGACTCTGGAGAGTCTCTTTGACTGCAAGGAGATCCAACCAGTCCATCCTAAAAGAAATCAGTCCTGAATATTCATTAGAAGGACTGACTGAAGCTGAACCTCCAATACTTTGGACACCTGACACGAAGAACTGACTCATTGGAAAAGAGACACTGGGAAAGATGGAAGGCAGGAGGAGAAGGGGACGAGAGAGGATGAGATGGTTGGATGGCATTACTGACTCAATGGACATGACTTTGAGCAAGCTCTGGGAGTTGGTGATGGACAGGGAGACCCGGCGTGCTGCAGTCCATGGGGTTGTAAAGAGTTGGACATGACTGAGTGAGTGAACTGAACTGAACTATGTCAATCTTATTATATTAAATGAAATGATGTATAGAAACTGTTCAGCATTGTTTTTGGATAATAAGCACTCAGTATAATAATTTTTATTATCTTTGGTTATTTAGGTAAACTGATTCTTTGATAAAATTCATGTCATTTTTTTCTCTCAGGTAAACACATAGGCCCAAATTAGAAATCATTAGTGGACACTTTCCCTTTAAAGTGTTGACCTTGACTTTGGACTTACCTTACAGGCATCTACTTTTCCTTCCATGAATCCGGCACATAACATTCCTGAAGTTACCATGCCGTCATACACATCCTTTCTGTTACACACCTCAGAGCTTATGGTTTCTACCCTGGCTTGCCGTAGTTTATTTTGTGTTGGTCCTATTACACAAACAAGTGAAAAAACAAAAAACATGTTCTTTGAACACAGCTATATCTAAGACTCAGAAGACACATGAATTATATATTCTTAGGGGTAAAAGCATTAGATTTTTTATTATTAATGATTGCCTAATTTTATTTTCTGTGGCATAAATGTCTACATGCAAGGAAACAATACACATATATGTGGTCATGGTGGTTTAGTTGCTAAGTCGTGTCTGACTCTCACGTATTTGTGGACCTTCAAAAGTTCTTGGAATCCTCAAAACTACACACAATATTGTGTGTATATGACTCTTTTTCATGAGGAGAGAGTTTATCACACTGAATTTGTCCAACTTCACATTTTTCTACATAAGGAAGCTGAGGCTCAGAGAAGTTCATTGATTTTCCAAAATCCACTCAAGTATAAACCAGGATACAAACTGCACAGGTCTGTTTGCCCTGCTCTGTGCTATACAGTGTTATTTCAGAATGTATCAAACCATGAGAAACAAAACAATTGCTGAAGATATACCAACAATATGACACCAGCAGAGAAGAAGGTCAGTGGTTAGGAGAAAAAAATACTGCATAAGTTAGTCTCAAAACATTCACAAACCACTTCCATGTTTATGACCATGTATGCCCTCATTAAAATTAGGAAGAATTTAAACCAAAAAAAAGCTTATGAAGTATATGCTAGCCAGGGGTGTTTACATCTGGCAAATATACAATTTGTAGTAATTTATTTTCCTGTACTCCCATAGCATTTTGTTCCTTAGAGTACCCAAAACAGTCTGTTCATCTTATCTATGTTATTGAATTCTCCTCTTCCCCACGACTGCTCCAAATAATTGTGAACTCCTCAAGGACAGGTATATGATTCCTTTTACTTTTTTTACTTTAACACACAGCACCTTGTTCTTCTCAGAGCCATACTTTCCTTCTCCAGGGAATCTTCCTGACCCAGGGGTCAAATCCAGGTCTCCTGAACTGCAGGCAGATTCTTTACCATCTGACCCACCAGAGAAGCCCATACACATTAGAAGCGTGAACATTTTAATGAAAAGTCTAAAGAGGTATTTCCTAGATGGCACATTAGATCCCAAGATAAATTTGTACTAAGTAAATTACATTGAACAACTCACCATCATCTACAATGGATCCAAATCCTGTGACAAATACACCTGTTTTAGGTGGCAACTTTATGGATGAATCTGGGAGGCAAACTCTCTGAACTACATTTGAAAAGTCAACTCGGGTTGCAAGCTGAACCAAAGCAATGTCATTTTCATTTGTTTCTCTACGGTAATTTTCATGAATGATAATTTTCTTCAAACTTCGTTGCACTGTGGGTGGTGTTATAGTTACACCAAAAGTGACAATCCATCTATTTGGGTCTTTATTTCTGCAAAAAAATTAAAGAATAAGATTAGTGATCCTTAACTGTATCCTTTAAAAACAGTTAAGACAGTATTCTCCCCAACTATTGGAATTATGTCCCTGAAAAATTCCTATAGCGAGAGAATTTGCAATTGATGGCAGTATGTAAAAAACAGGTTAAAATACTGATGATACAAGTGAGAGTAGGAAAGCTCTTAAAGTATTTCACAAGCTCTAAAATTTAAAAGAATACAATAGCTAAATGGAATTGCATGCTGCAGTTGGAATAATTATAATGGGTACTATACAATTAGTTTCTCACATTTTAATTCCCTGTTCATTAGAAACTCTTCAAATTTGATTTTTTCTATAATTTCAGTGAAGTGTATAGAAATTAATTTTGATCTGTTTTGGACATTATCACCCTAAGAGGCATTTCTTTCTGTATGAGACATTCTCTCCATTCTTATTTTATGATTTAACCTTTTGACTCTTGTTTACTGGGTCTTATCTTGATCTTTGAGACAAAGTGTAATTTGTCTTCTTCATAAACTCTCACGTGTATACAGGATTATTTCTCCACCCAGTGCCCGCCCATACCCTGCCCCAATACTCAAGGGCTAAAAGCAGCCTAAACTCATTGCTGTGTTGTTAGCTCCCATTACCCTTTCATCTGCCCTGGTCAGTCCCTCTTACTATTTTTGAGGCTCTCCCTTAACACAGATGCTTTTCTCTACCATGAGATTACACTACAAGCAAATTCTGCATCCTTCTATCATCTCTTTGCTCCCTGTTCTACCCTAAAGCTCAGTTGCCTTTTTGTCTAATCAGCCCTTTCAAGAATGACTGAAATATATAGAAACTTGAATTCTCTATGTAAAGGAAAATTATGTAAAAGGAAATTACACATAAGAGAATTCAAAAAGGGACTTTCCCTGTTCATGCAGGATTACTGCATTGGTGAATCATAAAGTTTTAAGTGTAATGAAAACCTGAAAGATCAGTGGTTTTCAAAGTACTCTGCACTGCCCCAGGGATGAGCGGGCGGAGCCTAGGGGCCAAGGCATTGGGGTCTGGGGAGGGCTCCTCTCTCAGTTGCTCTACTTATTTGCACTTTAAAAGGAAGGTTTAATTCAAAGCAGAAATCTTAAGGATGAAGCATTCATTTGAAAACTAGAATTCTGGAAGCTACAAAGACTTATGTTACTTCAGTCCTTAAGGATCTTGTAAACCAATTGAGTAGACAAAACAGAAATACCTATCTCCCCATGCATAAAAAACCAGAAAGGGAGGCTCAAGTAATAGGCACAGTTCAGCATGCTTTGCAGATAAGAACACTGAGATTCAGAAATTAAATGACTTGGCCAGGTACATGATGTATTCAGCTGGTTAGTGTCATAGACCAGGTCTCATGATATCCTGTCAAGAACTTTTCCCTATATACACTTGTTTCACAAAGACTGGGATCATTTTTCATGGGCATAAAGGTACTAACATTTGTCTTGAACATGATTTTAAAAATAAAGAATTTCTGTAGGAAAAAAAAAACATAAAAATTTTAAAAGTATTTGGATAATTGTGATATTGTCTTCAAAGTACCCATCTTTTTCCTTCACAATAGTACACTTCATTATGCAATTATATGAAATTATATCACATGCAAAATTGATCCCTTCCTCTCCAGGATCATCACCATTTCAAGCTCTTTATTATTATTGGCAAAAAATATGTTATCACGTTTCTCATATTGAAAAAAATTCCTCTTTAGAATCCACAGCCACCCTGACTATCAAATTTCTCTGCTTGCATTCATTTAAAAACTCCTTGAAAGTGGGGTCTAAACTCAGTACATCCAATCCTTATCTTTATTTTCTCTCTTGAATTCATTCTCACCTCTATCACATCATCACACTTTCTTTTATCAAAATCACCAGTTATCTCTGTTTTATCAAACTCAATGGCCAGTCCCTCTATATGTCTGTCCATACATAGAAATGAAACTGGACCTGCTAGAACCTGTATCTCAGTCTATATAGCTTGTATTCTTCACTAAATAGTTAAAGACTTTACATTCTGAGCTTATGTCTTTTTAATTTATGTAAGCAAATACCAGTTATAAATTTAAAAAATGTATGTGGAATGGAGGACTATATGAGCATGAAAAAATCAGAAAGCCTTGAAAAGTTAGTGAGACTCAAGTTTACCTAAGCATGATGATATTACTGAGGTTGTAAATATGTACATGTGAGTCCCTTTTCTCTTTTTTCATGAGACAGTGACAATCACCTTAAATTCATTAGGTCATTCTCATTACAAATCTGCTCCATAAATAAAGGTGTGGGCATCTTAGAACAATTTGGGTGCTACCCTTAGAAGGATGACCAAGCACCAACTAGACTCACCAAGAGTAGTTTCTTCTGAAAGGGGGTGTGAACAGTGTCGTTGGCCAGGACTTTATTCAGAACTTTTGTTTTTTGAGGATTTAAAAGGAAAAACTCTCTGAACCCTGATGTTGAAACCTCAGGGAAGAAAGACAGTGTGTCCCTGATCTTGGGCAATAGCGTGCCTATGCATGTCTGTGTGTGTGAAGTGACATAGCTGAGTGTTAAGAGTTACAACTGAAAGCCCAAGCAGAGAGCTCTTTTCAGGTTTTATATGACCCATCTTCCACACTGGGAGGGCAGTGATATAGGTTGGCAGATCTCTCCCATCATCCACACACCCCTCTAGTCCAGAAAAGCCCACATGAAATGAAGTGAAAGTTGCTAAGTCATGTCTGACTCTTTGTGACCCCACGGATTATACAGTCCATGGAATTTTCCAGGCCAGAATACTGGAGTGGGTAGCCTTTCTGTTCTCCAGGGGATCTTCTCAATTCAGGGATCAAACCCAGGTCTCCTGCATTGCAGATGGATTCTTTACCAGCCCACATGGTTCTTGGATAATTGGAAAGAAGAGCTTCAAAAATGATACCTTTGATTTTTTTTTCCTATAAGTGGTGGTGGATGCTGATAGTTGGAGGATAAATGAAATAATGTTTTAAAAGTGAAAGTGGCTGAATACACTTTAAGGAAAGTGAATTTTCCTTAAATATGAAGAAGAGTTTAAATTTGTACAAGTATAATAGTCTTTAAAATAATTTATGATGTAATAGAAAAAGATCACATACTTTCACAATGCTACATACAAGGAAACAGATGGTATGAGCCACAGGAATGGCTCTTTTTTGGTTTTGGTTTTTTTGGTTTTGGTTACCAAACCAAACATGATATGTATTGAGAGAAGGGTGAGGGGATGAGTTCGATTGGGGCATGGAGCAGCCATAATGCATTTAGGGGATAGCGTCCATGCAGAGTGGAATAGAGGATAAGTTGGTGAGCTTGGACTCTTCCCAGGCACTAAATTGATGGTAATTAATAACTGAGAAAGCAAGACTCACAAGAGCGCTAATGAACTTACCTGCGGAAGCAGTGAGCTGCTGTGAGCAGCCACGTGTTACTGATGAGACTGGCCCCACACTGATGGCCAGCCCCTATGAGCTGGAGGCTGGCCTGCCATGGCCACTCCCCTTCCAGAGCTGCTTCACTTCCTTGGATAATTCTTTCAGCAGACGCAAATGCTGGTAATGGCATGAATGAAGGTGTCATCCTTATTCCACAGCCTGTCACAGAAAGAAGTGTTACCTTAAAACAAGGGGGAGAAAGCATATCCTGATTTGCATTGGGTGCAGATGCTTAGTGTTCCATTGAACCTGCTGCTCTTTAACCCATTTCTAGCACTCAGTCTCTGGGGTTATTCTCTAGGGGTGCTACTATTCCCAGAGAGGTTCAAAAGAAATATTTACCAACATTTCAAGGCATCCAAACCAGAATTAACTTCTGCCTCTATACGGAGCATATAAATAGATAAGTCAATAGATAATTTAAGAGCATAGAAATGTGTGGATCCTCTGCTGAGAGTTTTCAATACATGTGTAGCAAAACACTTTTCAAATGAGAAAACACATTAGAGTTTCTCCATTAATATGGTGCCACATCAGTAGAGTCTAATGCTTCCTCTCCCGATTTCCCCTAAAAGTAAATGTGAAGGTAATAATAATAAAAATAATATCTACTAGTTATGATCCAGACCCTGTACATAGTATTACATACACTTGCCCTAATTTTAACAACTCTGTTATCTCTCTATGTTATTACATGTTATTATCCTCAGACTGAAGATGAAAAATTTGATTCTATGGTATTACTCAAAGGCAAAAGGAACAAAATCACCAAAAATTAAGGAAAGATAAGAAAAAATATATACATTCTGGAGGTAATTTTCAGTAACTTCAGTATTCAGTGGGTTGATTTAAAAAACAACTTCTTGGACTGCCCAACCTATTTCTTTGAATCAGAACTGTGTGGAGAAACCCAATAATTCTGACAAAGCCACTGATATTGTGATTTCCTACCTTTCTGCTCTATAACAAAACACTAGAAGAAGGGGGAATGATATGTGTACAGTTATTTGAGAAAATTTATGATCCAAGAATCCTATAAAACATTAAGATAAAGGCAATGGAGAGATTCTGATATATGCAACTTCTCAAAAATACACCATCTATGTAGTTGTCTTATTGAAAAATAACTTAAAGATACAGTTTAGCAAGCAAAAAGGTGAATCTAAATCAAGACTCAAGAAAAGGAAATAGTAAAAGTATAACAAGAGACTTTGATCTTGAAGCTGAAGTTCTGATACTTTGGGCATCTGACATGAAGAGCTGACTCACTGGAAAAGACCCTGATGCTGGGAAAGATTGAAGGCAAAAGAAGAATCAGAGGATGAGATGGTTAGATAGCATCTCTGACTCAATAGATATGAATCTGAGCAAAGTCCAGGCGATGATGAAGGACAAAGAAGCCTGGCATGCTTCTGTCCTTTGGGTCACAAAGAATCAGACATGGTTTAGTGACTGAACAACAACCAAGCAAGAGACTTAGTGATGGGTAAATGACTGTGACTGTTGGGATAAAATGGAACATATTGTTTTGAAAGAGATTATTAATAGAGTATGTAGTTTGTACCGGTGCTCAGTCATGTCTGACTCTTTGCAACCTCATGGACTGTAGCTCGCCAGCTCCTCTGTCCAAGGGATTATCCAGGCAAGAATACTAGAATGGTTTGCCATTTCCTCCTCAAGGCGATCTTCCCGAACCAGGGATCGACCCTGTATCTCCTGTATCTCCTGCATTAGCAGGTGGATTCTTTATCTTTGAGTCACCTGAGAAGTCCATGTAAAGATTAGTGATAAGTAAAATGTGAAGTTGGTCTTCCCAGGTGGCGCTAGTGGTAAAGAATCCACCTGCCAATGCAGGAGACATAAGAGATGCAGGTTTCATCCCTGGGTCAGGAAGATCTCCTGGGGAAGGGCATGGTAACTCACTTCAGTATTCTTGTCTGGAGAATCACATGGACAGAGGAACCTGGCAGGTATGGGCCATAGGGTCACAAAGAGTTGGACATGACTAATGGAACTTAGCACACATGCATGCAAGATGTTAGAAATATAGCTACATATGTTATGTATATCAAGAATACTACGTAATTTTTTACCACATTCTATAAGTCAAAATACCAAAAATTTTATTTGGCATAAATTCAAATGTCTTAAAATGTCAACAATAATAAAACATAATAAAAAGATTAAGTGGTTTACAAACAGAAAAAAGAGCTTGGTATTACTGTTATGATCATTTTGAAATACATACAGATATCAAATAATTATACATTGTATGTTCAAAACTAATACAATGTTATATCAATTATACCTCATAAAAGAATGTGGTAAAGTCTACTTGTAACTTTCTGGGCTTCTATTAATTATCTTTGCTATGAAATAGTTAATCATGGGCTTTGGTACTTACGACTGTTGAGAAGATTCCTCATCTTTTTGTTGTCGATAGCTGGAATAAACAAAACATGAATTAGTTGGTGGAAGTGTATGTTCCTATTTTCATGTGATTTTGTTCAAATGGTTACTATAAAATGCTTATTGCCCAAAGAAACCATATAAGATATTTTTTGTAACCAAGAAATATATAAATAACCCTCTACTCTGATTTGGTTCAAAATGTATAATTTTACTCTAAAAAGGTAGCATTTTGTTTTCTGATTTTTGCTGAGAAACCAAAAAACAGAACTTAGGATATTAGGAAAGAATGATTAGGATAAATGTCCTTGAGTGCTTTCTTTGGGAGCTCCAGTAAAACTAAGGGAAACAACCTCTATTCCCATCACAACTGGTGTTCACTGTAGCATTTGGACTAGCCTCTGTGTGTTAGGCATATGCCTGGAAGTCAGGTTGATAGGCATCCCAGGTCCCTCACAGACCAAATTCCCAGGCCTTTGTCTACAAATGGTGGGAACTCGGTCACTACAGGTTGTGGCTTCTCTCACTGAGGGCGACTCTCGCATAGAATACAGTGGAAGTCAGCAGGTCCTGAGGCAGGAAGGTCTCTTGTATACAGCCAGCCCCCTATCTCTCCCTCCACTTTATGTCTCACTTCTGTGACACCTTTTCCCCTTCAAACTTATCTTGCTGCTACTGCTAAGTCACGTCAGTGGTGTCCGACTCTGTGCAACCCCATAGACGGCAGCCCACCAGGCTCCTCCGTCCCTGGGATTCTCCAGGCAAGAACACTGGAGTGGATTGCCACTTCCTTCTCCAATGCATGAAGGTGAAAAGTGAAAGTGAAGTCGCTCAGTCGTGTCCCACTCTTAGCGATCCCATGGACCGCAGCCCACCAGGCTCCTCCGTCCATGGGATTTTCCAGGCAAGAGTGCTGGAGTGGGGTGCCACTGCCTTCTCCATACAAACTTATCTTAGTGTTCCTTTATAGTCAGTTTCATTTGATTGGGGTGATTTGGTATTTGTTTTGTTTATTTGTTAGAAAGTAGGAAAATATATCATATTTTCCTCTGGAATACTGACTTTCCCATAAGAGGAACGTGAGCCCCAAATCCTATTGGAAGTCTCCTGGACATTGTACTTCTCTTTATTTAATGTGAGCTTTGTAGGTAGCAGAAGAAAATGTATGTGGTAGAATTTTGGTTATCAAGGATGGTCATAGAATATCATTTAATATTAAAACAATCTTAATAATAAAAAGTCAGTATACATGACCAGGAAGGCTGAAAAATGATTTTTAAAGTAGTAAAATAAGAAACTCTACAATTTTAATTTATGGTGGATATTTTACTTTAGCTTGTATAATCATGTGTTAGGCACAATTATATTACCAGGAGTTGAGATTTAGTTTGAGATTGCCATTTACAGAGTGCTGGAAAATGTCATGTGTTTTTTTTTTTTGGAATATAATTGATTTAAAAATAAAGGTGGATATCATATTCTTCATCATTTCTAATTACTCTATGAAGAAGCTATCACTAGTGTGCATGGAGATTCTATCAAAATGTATTTAAAGGATTTTCCTTATTTTCTAACAAGAGAGAAATTAACTTTAGACAATCTCTTTTTTAAATTCATAGTTGTTGGGAGGGGAAAAGAGTCAAGATCTAAAGGACAAGCCTTATTTTTTGGTATTAAATCAGAAGCAACCGCACTTGGAAATACTTAATTAGAAACAATGAACGGAGTTGGAATACCTGATGCCTGTGAGACATATGCTAGAGTTCACGGGAAAGAATAAGAAAATAAAAAGACACAGTCCCTGATCTCGGCACTTGTAGTCTAATTTGAAATACATTATTTTACTTTCTCTAATTTTGTGCTGGTACAGAAAAACAGAAATGTCTCTCAGTTTGGATTCCAACTGGCTGTGAGGCAGTTTTAGTTTTACTTCCATAACCTTTTTGAGCTCCATTTTTTTCTACTTTTGGAGGAAAATGAAATGGCAACTTTCCTGAGTTTATATTGTGAGGAATCTGTGAGGAGATGACCAAGAAATTGTTTTAAATTGGAAATAAGCTAGGGAGAACCTCTTTATAGTTCATGTTAATGTTTGTTCCAACAGGCTTCAGCCTTCGTAAAGATTCTGTTTCTTTGATACTATGGAAGCGAATCCCAGAACTGGCCTCTGGCAGTCACGATACCTATGCTTTAATACCCCCCAAATCCCGCCGCTAACGCTTGCAGGTCCCATGTCTGACACCTTCCCTGAGTCTAGCTTCCTTAAAACGGTGCAATTAAAGCCTACCCTTTCATGCTTTTGAAAATATCCAACATGAAAATTCATATACAGGGTGAATTAAAAACCCATAGGGATGCCCAAGTTAAATATGAAAAAAAATCATAAAACTAGACTTAACCTCATAGCGAATTTTTATTTTAGCTTTAATCCACTCTGACATACATTCATCAAGGGTGAATTCTTGAAATGAGAGAATACATTGACCTGAATTCTTATGAAAAATAAAAAGAGGATTGTGAAGGGAGGAAACCAGAAAGATGGTAAAAGGACTTACATGTGAGTGTAAATGATGGTTTGTGTATAGTCAAAGGCATTGGTTCTCTCTTCAGACTTTGAAATAGAATCCTTTCAATTTTTTTCCTGACTTGCTCAGCGCTATCAGTAGATGGGAATCGAAACACAAGCACCATAAGAATGTTCATACCATTTTGATCTGGACTAAAGAGAAAAAAGCAGATAGAGGTAATCATAATAAAGTCAGTTCTCTAACCAGGAACTATTTTTACATGTTACAATTCACACTAGATTTAAAGAAACATAGTGAATGGCATGTGTGCATATCAGATTTTTAAATTATCTCTAGGAATACCAGCTAAGATAAATAGCTGGGAAAAAAACTCATCTAGCTGTGAGATAATTTTAGTTTCATAACCTTTTTGAACTTCAAAAAGAGGAGGTTGTGGGAGGAGGAGAGGTTCATGAAATCGTGCTTTACACATGCACTTAAATGATTTGCTTTTGAAGGGATTCTGAACCAAGTTGTAACCAAGGTCATTATTCCTCAGTTGCGGTGTGGCAAAGACAATGCTTCGTATTCACCAAACCCTTCTTCTAAGCTTTGCCTTCTAAGCAAGAGCTAGATTTCATTTCCTAGCCTTCCTTGCAGTTTATTGAAACTCTCTAGTGAATCCTAGACTGTGAAATGTGGGGAGAAATGATGTGCCCTGCTCCCAGACCTGGCCCTGGAAGACCTCCTGTGCCATCCTCCACGCTTTCACTCTTCGCTTATTTGCCAACCAGATATTCAGCGGGAAAGTCCATTCCACAGTCCCAATCATCCCTACATCCACTTCTGCCACTTCTGTTTGGACTGTACCATGGAAATTAAATATATCTTTATTGTGTTAAGCCACTGGTATTTTGGGGCTTAGTAGTCAGGTAATGTGAGTTTGAAAGATGGATGGTTAAAGAAAGCAATTATAAAAGGAGATCATTTGATAAGTTCAAATATAAAAATTTACAATAATGTGTAGAGGTTTAGAAACCCTCTAGTTACATTCTGAGAACAAATTTAATTTGAAATATATAAAAAATGAAGGAAGAAGGGAGAGTAGAAAGGGGAAAAGGGATAGAAAAGACATGGGCTCCTGACCATGTGTATAATTACCATCAAGAAGTGAAGTAAATAAGTATTACAAATATATATGTGTACATACATATATATATGTATATGCATGTTATCATATGTGTATATCTATATATTAATATGTAGATTTATATGTTGTTTAGCTACTAAGTTGTGTCTGACTCTTTGCAATCCCATGGTCTATAGCCTGCCAGGCTCCTTTGTTCATGGGATTTTCCAGGCAAGAATACAGGAGTAGGTTGCCATTTCCTTCTTCAGGGGATCTTCCCGACTCGGGGATCAAATCTGAGTGTCCTGCCTTGCAGGTGGATTCTTTATCATTGCACCACCTCTGAAGCTTATGTGTATAAATATGTATGTGTGTATACTGATTGATATCCACAATAAAATTTTAAAAATTTCATCAATTTTTATTAAAATTGATAGAAAACAAGATATGTTATTCCAGTAAATGCCAAGCTTTTTGGACATTCTATTAAAATATATTCAGGATAAATTCCAGTAACTTATTTTTGTCTCTGGTAATACATATCTTCAATTTATATATATTGCCTTTTATCAGAACAAAGAGTGAAAAGGCATTATAAATAAAATAATGCAGGAGGATTCAAGGAGAAACCTCATTGAAGAGAAAATCATAGTCTGATTTTTGGGTAGGCTTAAAGTGAGGATAATCAAAAAGGGCTGGCCTTTATGTGCTAAGTCACTTCAGTGGGGTCCAACTCTTTGAGAGCCTAGGACTATAGCCCACCAGGCTCCTCTGTCCATGGGATTCTCCAGGCAAGAATATCAGAGTAAGTTGCCATGCCCTCCTCCAGGGGATCTTTCCAACCCAGGGATCGAAACCATGTCTCCTGCATCTCCTTCATTGGCAGGCAGATTCTTTACCAGTGCCGCCACCTGGGAAGCCCCAAGCCAAGTTTACATACCTTAATTTGATAACATGAGATTTGATAAACCGACCCTCTCCAGAATGTTGGAATATCCTAGACATCTGAATAGAAAAAAATTTAAAGTGTTAATCCTAAGAAAAGTGGTATTCCTCATCTTATCTAGAGACTTATGGAAAAGTTAAGGATGCCAGTTTATTCCCAGACTTGTGAACTGGCTATCTGCAGTGGTAAGACTTCAACCAAGTTCTAGTCCTTGTAAAACTGAACAATCTTATCATAATAGTGTGATTCTGCTGTAAAATGATGTAACAGAATTATGTACATTGTACAGTCATTTTGAGGATTAAAGGAAACAATGTATACCACATATCACACATTGTCTGATATACTAAACACTATTCATAATGTTCATTTTGATGATCAAATAATTTAAACTACTGGTGCTATTTTTCAAGGCAGCGTTCCTTACTTTTAAGAAAACCTACCGTATATTTTCCTCATTCTCCAATATGGCATTCTAGTCTACTATTGATATCAATTTGCTCATTTCTCACATGAATGTCCCTTATGAGAACATTTGACATAATATATATCAACATCTGTCATGTGACTCTGACACTCTCCCTTGTTAATCATCTCTTTGGCAGGTCTATGTTTCATCACACTTCATACTGTCAGCATTTTGTTACTTGGATTTTCGAGTCTGAAACATTGAAGGATTTTGGATTTTCCATGAAATTATCTCCTAAAGGTACCTGATTCCCAAAAGAGTATTGAGGTACTGCCTGAAAAGATTAAAAATAACACCAGTGTGAAAGTCAAAATTCAGAAATTGCAGGACAATGTAAGTTTATGTAAGACCCAGTTCCATGGTAAATCTTGCCCCGTTTGGGAAGAGGGAATATTGGCTCCCTCGCCCAGTGGATTCTTCCTTCTCCTTGATTCCTCTAAATTAATAACAGTGCTCAGTAGATTTTACCTTGTTAAATAGTGAATCTCCCTCTCTTCCTTCCACCCCACTGCTGTGGTCTAAAATCAGCTCCTTCGAAACTTGTGTCCAGGCTTTTGCAGCTGTCCTCTCACTGACACCTTTACGTGGTTCAGCTCTGTCTTTCCTCCGCTACTTGTTACCCAACATGCCAGCAGCCAGGATGATGTCTCTAAAGCACAAGTCTGAGTATATTACACTCCTGCTGGAAACCCAGTGTCTCTTAGCATGAGCTCCACAATCTTAAACCTTTATGGGCCTTGTTGTTGCTGTTTAGTCACTCAATTGTATCTGATCCTTTGAGACCCCATGGACTGCAGCATGCCAGGCTTCTCTGTTCTTCACTATCTCCCAGAGTTTACTCAGACTCATGTCCCTTGAGTCGGTGATACCATCAAACCATCTCATCCTCTGTTGTCCCCTTCACCTTCTGCCTTCAATCTTTCCTAGCATCAGGGTCTTCTCTAATGAGTCAGTTCTTCACATCAGTTGGCCAAATTATTGGAGCTTCAGCTTCAGCATCAGTCCTTCCAATGAGTATTCAGGGTTAATTTTCTTTAGGGTTGACTGATTTGATCTCCTTGCAATCCAAAGGACTCTCAAGAGTCTTCTCTAGCCCTACAGTTCAAAAGCATCAATTCTT